TGATCTGAAGTTTGAGCCCGCGGCCCTTCATGACGAAGAATAAGGAGAGGGAGGTCAACCAGAGTCGGAATATTTTCTCTCACCAGAATGTGCAGTGCAGGAGTTGCAAAGCTACTTCTATTACTTATTTTCCCAAGGACCACTGCAATTGAATCATGCAAGTATCATCCTTCCCTGAGTTAAATGCACTATAGGTCCACAAACTTAATTATCAGGACTGTCACATAGGTCCATAAACTTCCCTCTTGCCCTGTCAGCTGATCACATAAACCTCTTGGCCCTCTTAGCTTGTCCAGTGTAGCCTGAACCGGCCTGGAGGATCACGTAAACAGCTCGTGACGATGACTAGCACTTGAACATACGCAAAAGCACCCCCTCCCCCGCTTCCTCCTCTTTCATAACCGGTCAAGGGTTTCCATCCTCAAGTTCATCGTGCACGAGGCAAAGAGGCAGGTGAGCGGGAGAGGAGACCAAGGGAGCCAATCACCAGCTAGATTGGAGCATCGGACGGTGAAGAAGGGTCGACCTTCTTCCATCTACCATGGGGAATTTGCACAATGGTGCCTCTGTGTGAATGCGGAGATCTAGCTGTGGTTGAAGATTCCTTTGTTTCTGCACAATTCATATGTGGCAACAAAAATGAGGTAAGTAAACCAATCTTGCGTTCGTGTAAATTTGAGTTCTTTGTATGTAATTACTTATGTACCTATTTATTTTCAGGAGAGATACTATAAGTGTGGCTTCAGGGAGTGGCTGTATGGACCTATGTCTCATTGGCCAGAGCCAAAGAAAAAGAAGAAAGAGAGGATAATCATCCCAGCCCCTCCGGTACTATGCAAATGTGGCGTTGAAGCCCACTATGGCCTAGTTCCTTCCAAGCTTGAAATAGGCTATTGGTGTGGCCATATGGTTGATTATGACCGATGAGGTTGGTTATACCTTTTAGAACATGTAATTGAACTTGTGCAAGTATTGACTAAATTTTTCAGCAGAGCACTAGAAAATGTGATTGGGAGGACATTGACGAAAGAGAAGAATACATGGATACACTCAAGGCGAAGGCAGTAATCCAACAGAAGTTAAGGTTGGGAACTCAGCTCATCGACCATTACATTAAGGATCACAAAAAGGAGGTTCGTTGTAAAGCTATCAAAAGGGGTCTACTTCACCCGATACATCTAGGTACACATGAGTGGTATGTTCGGGAGAAGCAAAGGGAGTGGGCTGCCGAGCAAAATCCAGAGAAGGAGAGGGCACTGGAGGTAGAAAAGTTCGAATGGAGGTCATGAAAGACCTCGTTGCTGGATTGCCTAGATTTTCTAGTGAGTGCTTCGACTATCTATTTGTTTTTGTACCCTATTTTTATGTAGTGTATTTGGCTAACTTATTCTTTTTGTGCATGCAGGCAAAGGATGCAGCGATGAGCATGCCACTAAGGTAGCACACGCAAGGTTACAAAAAAAGAAGGCGGAGGCTCAGAAGATGAAAGCAGCTCACCCCGTGTTGTCTCAGATTGTGGAGGCTGATGAGGGTGTCAAGGATGAGAACAACTATGCTAGACTTAGCAAGCTCATGCTCTAGCAGAAGCAGGCTTGGAAGTAAAAAAGCAACAAGTGGAAGAGGATGACTTCTTGTCCTAGGCCACCGATGAGCTAGAGGTTGATTACTTCAGGCGAAAGGCAGTTGAGGCCAGTGCAGATGAGCCCAGCCACACGAAGGAGGTTGTGGTAGAGGATTGGGATGAGGATGATGAGTTGCTCTTTGAGGGTGGTGATGACTAGTGTAGGATGTTGTAGTAGATTTTATTTTGTATGTGATGTAACATTTCTTCACTTTTGACTGTATTGCCTCCCATGAATTTGAACCATGTAGTTGTAGCCTTTTCAGAAGTTGTGATGCTGAGCTACTACCACATAATGCGAACACGGAAAGTGGTACTGCCTTGGTTTCCCACATGTGCATGAGATATTAATAAGTACCACCTTATGGCTCCTTGGATGGCCGAACCTCACCATTGGCTGTTGTACCACCCCTTTCTATGACCTCGTACTTGGCCATTCCTTGGTCAAAACAGTGCACCTCATGTGTGAGAGCCCTAGACTTTGCCTTATCAAGCTGAGCTTGATGTTTAGGTTCCTATCTCTCATTCTTACTCTGTTGAGCCATTGCATCTCAATGTCTCTCATTCAACTAGGCAACAAGCTTGTAGAAGGTGAATGATAAGATAGCATTGATGGGCATGGCATGTATACCCTTAAGCAAAGTGTTAAATGGTTCGGCCATGTTGCTAGTCTGAAACTCATACCTCTGGCCACCATCGTCGTGAGCCCTTGTCGATTTCTCGGGTTCCCTCAACAACCCTCTCACCACTGTCTACCTTTTGTGTTATTGCAGTTTTAAGATGCTCCAACTTCTCTTTGAACAACTTAACCTCGAGCATGCAAGCAACCTCCTCGAATAGAGCAAAGTTATCCTTGGTACCATCCTTACGGAGTAAATTCACGACAAGGTGCTGAGTGTACCAACGGTGGTGCAAAGGTGCATAGCCCGCAATCTGCTCATGTATGTCACTGAGTATACCCTGGTGTCTATCAGATATGACACCAACCTCCCTACCCAGGCCTACCACATATATCCGAACGAGCCTCAAGAACCATCCCTAGATGTCTTTGTTCTGCTTCTCAACTAAAGCAAAGGCCAAAAGAACCAGCGTGTTGTCTGCGTCACATGAAATGGCTATAAGAAGTGTGTCCCGGTACTTGCCAAGAAGAAATGTCCCATCAATGGAGAAGACAAGACAGCAGTGCCTGAAGGCCTCGATGCACTAAGGGAAGAACCAGAATACATGGAATAATATATGCCTCTCATCCTTCCATTCATTTGGTTTAGGGATGTACTCATAAATGCATGCTTGGATTAACGGCTTTGATTGCATTGAACAATGCTAGCAACTGCTCATACCCCTCTTCCTAATCCCCATATATCATCTTCCAGCGTCGCTGCTTTGCCCTCCATGCTTTTCCATACCTTATCTTGTATCCACCAAATATTTTCTCAGACATGTCCATCCTCACCTTCAAATTGAGTTGAACCTTCAATGTTTTGTATAGTGATCTGGCAATGAGGGTAGAGGTCAACTGTTGATGCTTCTGTTGCAGGTCTGCTTGGCACAAGTGTGTGGACCAACGATTTTTGTGATCTTGAACTTTCCTATGTCCTTTTGTTTCTGAGCACATACCCTCTAGTTGCAATGGCCTTCTCGCACACCACTGTGTACCGTGGCTCCACATAGGAGTGCCTCAACTTGAATGGTCTTTTACGTTTCACAGAATACTCCTATAGCCACCTTCTTAATGTCGTAGGCAAGTCCATGAACAACGAGCCCTTCTAAATTTCCATGATGTCCCCAGCCTCGAGAGCCTCTAGCAGCTTATCATCTCTTCCTTCTGCATTACCTTATGAGAATGAGTGAGATCACTGAATTCATGAATTGTTGGATCCTGATCAGGGTAGAAAAATCTAATCAACTCCATATCTTGTTCTAATGGGGCTGCAACAGGGCGGTCATCATCAGAATCAATGGCTCTAACGATACCATAGGGCTCTTCATCATCGACAATTTGGACATCCACACTATTAGAGGCCCTACAAGCTGATGGAGCTACATGAGGATAGCCAACATTATCATGAATGTCTCCTACATCACAAACACAAAAATGAAACAATTGAGACAAAGGAATGGAAACATGGGCAGTACATAAAGTGTTAGTGCGACACTTACTTGGATCATCCAGTCACCACAACATCTTTAGTCCGACATTCAACTCGAATAGGATGAGAACTCCCAACCTCATTTGAGGTGGATTGAGCATCAGGCACCACAACCACATCTTCCACATCCACCTCACGGTTGGGTAACAGAGGGTCACCGGGTGCCAGATTGCCCTATTCTTGTGAATACCCATGAGGGGCTGAATGCCCATGCATGAGAGGGTGCATACCCATGAGGAGTGGGACCAATTGACACCTTCCGCATAAACAAATCCAAACATTGGTACTGAGTCCTCATCACTATTCTCACACAATTCTGTCACTGATCCTCAGAGCCAATTGAGACCACCGATCTCCTGAGGCGGTGGTGGCGGCGATGACCAACCACGAGACAGAGAGCCTGACTGGAAGAACATAGGCGCACGGCGAAGAAGTCAGGCCCGTGGTCATGGCACCTAGCTCGGCACCATAGATCTTGGCGCTGAGGCGTCAAGATATGCGCCGAGTATCTACCACGTCAGATCCACTTCACCAGCCATGCAACACCGTGCCAGAGGGCTTGGCGCCATGGCCTATGGCGCCGAGCTGTGTAACCTCGGTGCAATGGCCTGTGGCGTCGACCCCCAATGTCTAAACTTGGGAATACGCCACTAGGGGTGTAAACGTGATTTTTTTAAAAGGCTAAATTGAAAAAAAAATACGGCAACTGTCGTGTGCATCACCATTGTAATTGTTGGGCAATAATGGCATCAGTTGACAACGAAAAGCCATTGTAATTTGAGGGATCCAAACGGGCCATAAGAGTAATGGGCAAACTTGATTAACACATTATGACTGGAATAATCTTGGCAAAGTTGCACTTTATAAAACTATATTTTTTCATCAAAACTAAGAAAACAGATAAACGGTACACCAAAAACAAAACATTTCGTTGGTTGTACAACAACAACTTGAAGTCAGGGCTATATTCAAACTTTTATGTAAACAAACAAAAAAGTTTGTTCCAAAATAGAACTTCTATGGCAATCATCCTTAACCCTCTCCCTTTGTACCAATTTTGGAACAACCACAGTAGCAACCCAGCCCCACCCAGATCAGAAACCCAAGAAGAATGCAAAAATAACCAAGAAACAACCAGTCAACTCCTCGCCACCTTCTTAACCAACTCCCTTTGGCCGTCGGCGCGCGGAGGCAGGGGGCGCGTACGGTGGCGGCGGTTGGCGGCAGCCATGAACATCAACGCGAACAGTGGCATCCTGTTGTACGAGAAGATGGAGGGGTACGCGCTGTGGGTGGCCACGGGCGTGGTGTCGGCCTTCTTTGCCTCCCTAGAGCGCTGCTCCTGCATCCACCTCCACACCACCGAGGAGGAGGACAACGGCAACGACGATGAGGACCCCGAGGAGACCAAGGACCGCCCGCTCATGTGTCCCGCCTGACACCCTCCCCGAGTACTCCGTCTCCTTCGCCAAGATGTGATGAGGTGATGCATGATCGTGTCTGAGAGGGGGTCGCATGCGGTACTGTCGTCGTCTTTGCGTGATCGGCCTATCTGATCCGTTTCTTGATCGGTTGTTCATGTCTTGTTTTTGTGTGAATTATATTGTACTCCCTCCGTCCACAAAAAAATGCAATTGTGGAAAGTGTGCCGGTCAAACTAGCTCAAGTTTGATCAAGTTTATAGTAAATAGTATTAATATTTATGTCTCTAAATAAATTTACTATGAAAATATGTTCTATGATTAATCTAATGGTACTTTTTTTGTCATATGAGTGTTAGTACTTTTTCATATAATTTTAGTCAAAATTTAAGATGTTTGACTTCTCAAAATATGTAAATCGTATTCTTTTATAGACGGAGGAGTATATCCGCATGATCCCCCGGCGCGTTGTGTTCTTGCCAATGCCAAGAACGAAATGTGCCCTAGTATGTTCCGGGCGATTTGGACGTACATCTGATGGATTTGTAATTACGCAACTGTGTTGTTGTGGATTATATTGCTTTTTTCTCCTTTTTAGGACGGCATTGTTGTGCCTGCACATCTCGGATCCATTTTCAGATGCATGAGATTGTCTTACAAATATGCTACATCTGAAGTTGTGTTGCAAAACATATCGAATACATTTCTTATCCAGAGTTCGTTTGAATTATCGCTTTCTTTGCTTATGTGGATAATTTAACTTTTTTAAAAAAAAATCCTAAGCTGATGAAGAAAATTAATTTGAGTCTTGGCGTTGTATTTTGCTGAGCAAATACCTTCTGTAGTAAAACAGGCCTTAACATCAACCCTAGTGATGCTGGTCTAGTTATGTATTGGATCATGTGGTTGCAAGTCGGTGGCTAAATCGAAGCCTTCATATATCTGACCGTTCGTGCGGTGCATGAAAAAAAAGTATGATATACACGTGTTGTACAATTGAAAAAAAAACAATATTTTAAATTTACATGTTGTTTATAGTCAAATCATGGTTAAAAAAACTCGACCAACGACGATGGGAGTTAGGACAGCCCATATACAGTGGCACCGCTGCTCGTAACCTAAGGAGTGCTACTGTAGCCACCTAACCAATTCAGCTAGGCACCCGTTCAATGCCATGATTGGTAATTAAGAATGAATAATTTATTATAAAAATAAAAGCATGTAATTCAAAATTTTCTTTGACCATAATAAATCGTGATTCACTGTTCTACAACATTTTTCCTATGACGATACACTTAAAATATTCTTGTACGTCTGCTGAAACTAAAAATCACTTATATAAGAAAAAGTTCTTCCACAACCTCCGCCGCGCCCATCCTATATACAAGTCAGCACGGTGTAGGTGGGACTCGCGCAGGCGTAGCGAGGCGGGAAAAAAATTCCGTGGAAACTAGTTCCACCGGACCTCCCGTGGAAACATAGCTTGGATGGAGAATGCGTGTCCACGGTAGGCATCAAACGGCTCGTAGAGGCTGCTGGAGACCGAGAACCAACCCGATACCTGCGCCGAACGGTGCGCGGGAACAGACGGGAGCAGCGTGCCAACGATTGCTGATTCTACGTGACAGGCCCATCAACGAGCGCGGCGGCCACCACCGCGTGAGCGATTCCGAAACGGCACCAGGTAATCAGGTACGTATGTACATGTATCCTTTTTCCCTTTCTTTTTATTTTTCTTTTCCTTTTCTTAATCATGTGGTTTTCATTCTTCTTTTATTTTCGTTATATTTTAATTCTTTTCTAATTTTGTTTTTCTTTGTTTCATGTTTTTTCAATTTTTTTTTGTTGATGGGTTGTGAGCTATAGACGCATGTTGCATTTTTTTTTCTTTCCTTTCATCTGTTTCTTTAGCTTGTTGGCCTGGGTCATGCCGTGAGTTGGTGCCCGTTTTCTTTTTCTTTTCTTTTCTTTTTTTTTTTTTTATTCTTTTCTTTTCTTTTTAAGATTTTTTAATTTGTTTTTCTTTCCTTTTTTAATTTTACTTATTTTTCTTTTCTTTTCTTTTACTTTTTATTTTCTATATTTTTTATTATTATTTTTTTGTTTCTTTTCTTTCTTTTATTTATTTTTTGTCTTTATTTTTTTTTGTAGTTTTTCTATTCTTTTATCTTTTTATTTTTTTCATTATTTTATTTTATATAATTCATTATTTCTTGTATATATTTTTATGTTTTCGTTTTCTATTTCTTTTCCTTTCTATCTCTTTTATGTTTTTTTAATTTTTTTATTGTCATTTCGATTTATTTTCTAATTTTTTTATTTTGATTATTTTAAGTTTTCTATGTTTTACGAGATATATATGATGTTCACGTAGCATACATATTATGTTTACATAGGGCGTGTTCTTTTCTCTAGTGCTAGGACAAGAGACTAAAACAGAAACTAAAATAATGTTTGTTTCTAGGGACTAAAAGGGACTAAAGGGGAGGAGAGAGATGAAGGGGTATGGGCTGTTTAGTCCCAATTAGCAGCCCTCAAGGGACTACTATATTTTAGTCCCTAGTCCCTATTTTAGTCCCTGATATTTATTTCAAAGGGACTAATTGGGACTAAAATTTAGTCTTTAGTCCATTCTCCCATGGAAAAGAACACGCCCGTAGTGTACACATGTGATGTTCTATATGATGTATTCTGTGATATTCACGTCATATACATATGGTGTTCTATGATATATTTTGTGATGTTCGTGTAGTATACATGTGATGTTTTATGATATATTTTATGGTTCATGTAGTATACGTGCGATGTTCTGTGATATTTTTTATGATGTTCACGTAATATACATATGGTGTTCTTGTAGTATACTTACGGTGTTCTATGATATATTCAGTGATGTTCACGTAGTATACATGTGATGTTCTGTGTTGTTTTAAGATGTTCACGTAGTATAAATGTGATGTTCTATGATGCATTCTTATGCTGTTCATATAGTATATAAGTGATGTTCTGTGATGTTCTTTGTGATGTTCAATACATACGGTGTTCTATGATATATTCAGTGATGTTCATGTCGTATACATGTGATGTTCTATGTTGTTTTATGTATATTTGATGTTTTATGATGTATTCTTATGATGTTCATGTAGTATATAAGTGATGTTTACATAGTCTACATATCATGTTCTTTGATATATTGTTCGATGTTCACGTTATATGCATGTAATGTTCTATCATGTATTTGTGATATTCACATAATAAATTATTTTAGAAGTGTTTTTTATGTTCTATGTGCACGTAATAAATTATTTTAGAAGTGTTTTTTATGTTCTATGTGTTTTTATCATGTTCCTTTTTATATGTTGTTTTGTATTATATTTTATTTTTCCTTCCACTTATTTACATCAATTATAATTTTTTTATTTCACTCTTTCGTTGTGTATTTCATTTTATTTCCTTCCTTACTTGCCCGTTTTCTTGTATTTTTCCTATTACGTAGTTTTTTATATTTCATGAGATGTCGATGGCATATTTTGGTCTAGAATATTATTTTTGCAAGGTAAAATACTTTTTTCCTCAGACTTAAATAGTTCTGTAACGTAGCTAAAAAATCGCACCGTGCAGTGGTACGAAATGAATTTCTTAGACCATATCTCCCACACATTATTTTTGCTCCTCCTATTTTCTAATTTTTTTCTGATCTCCTTCACATTTATGTGTGAGCTCTTATTTTATAGTAGTTTGGCTCTGTTCGCTTGGTGTTTTTCTCTCACGACATTTCAAAGCGTAAGCGAACAGGATGATGTCACCTCGCTAGCTAGCATGAGCGCTCGCGGCCGTGCGGAGTGGAGTTCTCGTCCCACGTATTAGCGCCTAGCGGCCGTGCGGAACGGGCCGGCCCATGGGCAGGAGCAGCGTAGGCCCATGCGCAGTGACTGGACTGTAACACACCCTAGAAATGGTGCAGGCATGCCGCAGGTTGGCTTCCGTCCCGCGCACGCAAAAATAATAATTTGCTGGCCGGCGTGATTACACGGTCCGAACACCCGGACCGTAGCTGCCCCCGCTGGAGACATCTTTTAATTTGGGCCAGCTGTGCTTCTAGCCCAGCCCAGCCGTGCTGTCAGTCAGGTAAGCAAACCATGTATGCAGGGATACAAGTTTCACACAGTTTTTTTCCGCAAGGCGTAAGTGCATAACTGCCGTTAGGCTCTATCAGCTACAAGCCCAACACCCTCGCCCACGCCTGTTACGAAACTGGGCCTCCGTGGACACGCATATCAGCCCATCTTGTGAGGTTACACACCTATATTTGGGGTTTCTGACATGTACCTATAACTACTACTGTTGCTCAAAATAAAAACATGTTACTACTAGCTAGGAGCCGTGACATCATTACCTATCAATGAAGTAAGCGAGCGGCACAAAGAGAAAGGCCGAGGCGAAGTAGAAGTAGATGCATGACGAGTAATACCTCAAGGGACGTGTTGGTGCCTAGACGTCCGACGAGATAGGATTACGTCGGACGCCCGTTTCCCGCGTGTGCCTACACAGCCTACGCTTGGTCTGCTAATTCGCCCTACCTGCATGCGCATCGTGCTGTCGTCATGTTCGTGTGACTTGCTCGCAATCCGTCCCATCCTCCTCGATTCGACCCGCCTCGTCATGCCCCCGACCGTCGGCCCCTAATGCACCGCGCGCCACGTCCGCCAACCACCGGCTCGCTGCGCCCCATTCCACGGCACCCGTGCGGTGCCACCATCACTCTCCCGCGCTCCCTGACTCTCCAAACAACATGAAACACGTGCAACATATGTCTGAAACAGATAAAACATCTGAAACATACACTTGCAACATATGTGCAAAAACATATGCAACATCCAGATAGACCACTTGCAACTTGCAACATGAAAACGCTTGCTACAACAGAAAGACAGGAACAAATGAAATATTTGAAACATATTATTGCAACATATGTGTGAAACATATGCAACAATTAAAACGCTTGCAACATAAGTCTGTAACAGATGAAATATTTTGAACAACTCTTGCAACATGTCTCTGAAACACTTGCAACATATGCAACATCCCCGATCTACTTTTGCAGCAACCATATGAAACAACTGCAACATACCTCTAAAACGTCTAAAACATTTGAAACATATATTTCCAACATAGGGGAGGGGAGAGGAACTGTGTCGGTCAATTCCGGCCGTCAGGGTCGGAGCTGGCGACGAGTGGCGGCGCGCGAGCACCACTAGCATCTAGCACCAGCGGCGTGCGCGAGCACTGCCGCCACTAGTGCCCCCATCACCGGGCTTAGGTCGGCCGGGCAGGCGGCGCGCGGACGGGCGGAGCGAGCACCACCAGCACCAGTGCACGCAATGGGAGGGAGCGGGCGGCACACGTGACGGGAGGGGGCGAGAAGCGCGTGATGGGGCACGAGTGAGCGGCGGCAGATGGGTCGTGTGGCAGCAGTGAGGGGAGTGACGCGTCCGCGCGTCCACGTCCAGGACGGGGTAGCCACAAGGCGCCGCGACAAGGGTGGAGAAAGCGGAAGAGATAAGGATGGATGATGATATGACCACGTCATCAACCAACATGTTACAACCTCCAATTCAAGTAACACCAACTCAAGTATCACCTACATCGACACCAGCCCAAGCCTTTGGTGGCCCAATTATACGTAGTTGAGCAAAGAAGGTACAACAAGAAGTGAACGCGCTACTTTATGAAGTTCAATTTAATATTAATGAGAATTATATACTGCCTAAGTCATGTACGTTGTTGTTGCTTAGGGTCACCAAAGAGAATGGCAAGAACACACAAGGTGATGACCACAGAGAAGAACCACACTTGAACCAGACCAGTCCTGCAGAATAGTCGGAAAGAAATATTCATCACTTTTGATTTCCAGAAGCTATGAAGGTGAATGAGCACATTTTGGAAAGCTTGTCGAGTCTACTTTCCAATGATGCTAACGCCGACCAGTTTGGACTTCTAACTAATGAAATCCGACCAGCTTAGTACATACTGGTCAGACCTCTTGAAACTGGTAGAACTGTCAAGAAGAAAATATCATAACTTTTTTATTCCCGAAGGCTATGGAGGTCAATGAGGACTTTTTGGAAAGCTTGTGAAATCTAGTTTCTAATGCTTCAAGGCCGACTAGATCCGACCAGTTTTAGTGCAGATCCGACCAGTTTTAGTGTAGACTGCTCAGATGGTTAACAGTCTTCTCAGGACATGATATTAGTACAACTTCTCATATTAAACTGTACCATTCTACAATGTTTCGTGGTGCATGCTATACATGGTGTGAAACCTTATCAAGTTAGCTTTTCAACGCAACCAACAACACGTTATTTGGATTTTCCAAGATGGAGTTATTGCCAAAACACTGAAGACTGCGCAGAAGACCAACAGCCACGCGGAAACTACTTAGAAACTTATTTCGTGGAAGCTTGTTCACATAGTCTACCCTTTCTTTTCCTTTTCGTGTTTATACCTGTCTAGAAGGGTTGTTTCTAATATAAATATCCATGTACTCCTAAGCAAAAGAAGACTTTTGATAATCGAAATACAAAACCCCCTTTGTTCAGCTATGTGCTAACAAATATTGAGAGTGATCTCTACCACTTTGCTCTTATGATTTCCTTCGCGGGATTTACAGAAGCGGCGGCTTCATCCGCTCCCAATTGGTGCTCCTCCTCCCTTCGAGGTTTACCTTGATTGATTGTAGGCTGTGTTGGTTGGTTTCTTGAGAGTGTGGTTGGACGAATCCTCGATTCAGGTTGACGGTTAAAGACGGTGGTTGGCTTCGAGTTTTATTTGCCAGGTTGCACTAGTTATCGCTGCCTGCAGCAAGTTATCCGGCTATTCTTCAGCTAGTTATCTGGTGATTGATCCTACGTTGTGAAGATCGGGACCTCGCATCGTATCAGATGAGTTTTTTTAGTAAACTCATGGACAGAGCGAGCGACGGACTAAAAGTGTAAGCAACGAGGCGGTGGACCTGCCGGAGCGTCCGACGCATAGGACGTAAGACGTGTAGCATTTCGAATACCTCAAATAAGGGCACGAGGAATACATACCCCAATTTATTGCACAGGTGGCCGGACGACTCTTTCCCGCATAGGCTGTGGGGGAGTTGATTGTTTTTTAAGGCTTACATTTTCACCGAACTAGATCCGCATGGAGACATGATGGAAATGTATCGTGTATGCTTTCATATCCTCGATCAACCGTGCATGCGACGCCAAAGGGGTACAGTGAGCCTAAAATTGAACCGGCAAACAAAACTTGCATGCGTGGCTAGTGGCTTGGCCCTCTCTCGATCGGAAAAATACATGGTGTGAGAGATGCGGGGGACGACGTACGGAGGATAGCAGGTCCTTGCACGCTGCTCCAATCGGGCCGTCCCGGCCAGCTTCACTAGAGACACGGGGAGAGAACAACAAGGGACGTGTTTCAATGCTTTGTTCTGACGCGGATTGTGTACAGTGTTACCGAGGATTCACACGAAACAACAGCATTGGTCAGGCCACGGCCCACGTGTCTAACTCGCATCGTCACATCTACGAGAGCCAGCCGAAAGACCGACCGGCCTCATGGCCCTTTTCTGTGGACTGTGGGGGACAAGGCCCAATAAATGAATTTCTATGAGGGCGGCATGGAAAGCGATGCACCAGCAGTCAGCAGACATGCATCACAAATTGCAGTCTTACTGAATCTATGGCCCTTGCTTCCCTCCCATGTACGCAATCACATATTCACATATATAACAAAACTCCCATTTGGATTGGTACAATGTATATCTAGTGACTAGTGGGGGCTACAAATAGCACCTCCTCCCCTGCGCCTACCGCACGCAAGAGCCTCCCTTCATCGATCACCATCCAGCGAGGCAGCAACAACCAACAAACAACCTTGCGAAGCAGGAGGCACACATTGCAACAAGCAGTTGGTCTTTCGTTCTTGTGGCCATTTGCTTGCTAGCTAGCTAGCTCCTGCATTGCAGATACACACATATACTCGCATAGAGAGAGAGGCAGAGCAGAGAAATGGAGATGTGCTTGGATGAGAAGTGGAAGCTATCGAGCAGCTCAAGGAAGGGGAGCCGGAGGTCGGCGGCGGTGGCGCCGGCGACCAGCGAGGCGAGCCCGAGGGGCCTCAAGGGCCGCACATCATCGAGGGGGCCCGCCGCCCGGTCTGTAGTTACGGGGCGGCTGGCGAGCCTGGTGAAGGAGCAGGGGGCCAGGTTCTACATCATGCGCCGCTGCGTCACCATGCTCGTGTGCTGGAGGGACTAGCTAGTTCATTCGCACTCCAGGGCCTGTGGGCTGTGGGCCATCATGTGCTCTACAACGACTTGGCCCTGGACGGCCCTAGCCCGGCCCTGTGGCTAATTATTCAGGAGAGGGTGGGAGAAAGACCAGAGGTGTGCCTAATCTTTTGTGTGGCCGTCCTGTGGCTGTGGGTGACAGAGACAGTGTTTCTACTTGTAGTGTGTCAAAATGTTAGCTTTGATTTGATTTTTGCTGCCTGCTCTTTGCAAAGGTAACATTGCTGTAAAACGACCAAGACATCGTTACTAGCAGCTCATGAAATAATTTCCCTATTATATATATATATATATATATATATATATATATATATATATATATATATATATATATATATATATATATATATATATATACCCCTTTCTTACACTTACTTTTTCCAGAGAATATATCAGTTTCCATGAGAATGATATTAGTAGTAAAAAGGAAAAATTCCGATCCAGCGTAATATTGCCGATCCTGTGGCCGAATGAATTTAACCGCCGGTGGAAATCAATTTTTACAGGAGGGTTACATAACATTGTTGTCACTGGAAATAAATCAGTACTGACGGATTTAGAAATATGTTATTTTTACCGGCCTTTGACACTAACGGTTAAAAAACACCAGTAGAAATCAGTTATCTACCGCCAGTAAAAACCTTTTTGTCTGCCTAGTGGTCTCACCAATCGGTGTTGTTGATGTAATCTCGAGCAATCGCCAATCAGCATGGGACAGACAGATTGCAGAGTAGATAGATAGATTTGGTATAACCACTGGATACTCAGGCAGGATCTGCATCATCCACGCATTAACCAAACGGTGCTTTTTGTGTACATGGGATGCCAAATAAGTTCGCAAGTGCGTGGATCGGACAGGCAGACAGCCGGTCAGTTTGTCGCTTCCCTTTGACCAGACCTGTGCAATTGCCGCCAAAAAAAAATCTTTGACCAACTGCCATTTAAACAACAATTTCAGATTTTCAGTATCAATACTGAGCAATCTAGTACTGATTGACAAGAAATCATCAGTTTATTGACGATCTGGTCTTGGCCTGATTCAAGTGTTTGAACCCTAATTTGGACACATTCCGTCGTCTGGCGTATCCAGAACTCGTGTCTTGTTGCTAACGATCCGTGCATGATCCATCAATCAGACTGTGTGCACATGCCTGAACTCACATGCTAACGCATGATGGGCTCAAGACAGAAATATATTTTCGTGGAAACCATGTACATATTAAATGTAAGCCATTTTCAAAAATCGTGCTTCGGTCATTCCAAAGTTTTTGAAACTCGGTACATCTATATTGCATCCATATACATACTTATGTAAAAAAAGTTGAGATGAAAACTCAAACAAGAAAAAACCATATAAAAATAACAAGTTCCAGGTGCATGCTAGTTTTTTATCTTGTAGCGCACATGCATCTGAAATTTGTCATTTTCATATAAATTTTTCTAGTTTTCCTTTGCATGTCAACTTTTATATGTCAGTACATATATGGATGCACTAAACTTGATTGAGAAAAAATCATCAGTTTCTTGACGATCTGGTCTTGACCTGATTCAAGTGTTTGAACCCTAATTTGGACACACCTGGCGTATCCAGAGCTCGTGTCCTGTTGCTAACGATCCGTGCATGATCCATCAATCAGACTATCACTGCGTGCACATGGGTTCGTCGTCTCTCTACTGAACTCACATGCTAACGCATGGTGGGTTAGTGGTGCAAATCATGTACATATATTAGATAACATGTAAACCATATATTTCAAAAATTGTGCTTCGCACTACTAGAAAAATGATTTTACAAAACTTATATGTATATAGTACATCTATAGTGCATTCACTTATACACAAATGTTGAGATGCAAACTCGAACAAGAAAAAATCATATCAATATAATAAATTCCAGGTGCATGTGCAATGTAAGATAAAAACTCAAGTACACATATGCACATGGAATTTGTCATTTTTATATAAATTTTTCTAGTATGGCTTTGCATCTCAACTTTGTTTTATATATAAGTATATAAATAGATGCACTACAAATATACTAAGTTTCAAAACAATGACTGAAGTACGATTTTTTTTAAAATTATTTATAGGTTTGCACCTAATACGCTGTTTGCACTATAAATGTACTAAGTTTCAAAAAATTTAAAAAAATTGTATATTTGCACACCACATATTTTTCCGGGTTAAGAGACTAACAAGTGCAAAAAAAGCAAAAGGCAGATTAACTCTCTCGATCTCATACAGATACAGTACCGCGCATGCACACAGTTTGCATGTTAATTTAAAAATACATGCGTGTTCGTTACTACCTTTCGGCTGCATGTCGGCACACCCATCGATCTAATTCATCTATAAATACATTTAACCGTCGCTGCATGACACCATGATGCATGATGAGACTCCGATTCATGTCGTGCTGAGTGACACGTGTCAGAGAGGGAGAGGCACTTGACCGGCCGCCGCGCGGTCAAATGATGACACGCATGTGCGTGCCCGGATCCCTATGCGTGGTCGTTCGTTCCCTCTCCTCATCATGTGCTTCAGAGCGAGTTTAGTAGTAGTGGAGCGGCAAATGGTTTTGAACTAATCTACTATCAAACCTTATCTGACACTCGATCACATGGCAGACAGTGCCGGGGCAGTGTGCTATAGTATCTATTCATCAGCATCAGGATCAACATCTACATAATTAGCATAATCTTTCTTCTAGCTAATTCTTGTCTTTTTGCAGCTTCAGTGTTTACATGTCTACGTTTTGCATGCTAGTATTCCATCGATCCTTTATTTGACGACTCCATCCATATATCCTGCGGCTTTCGGATTGGTGAATGTATACGACTTCTAAGGTCAGTTTTAACGGGAGGTTTTATAAGAGTTTTATGGGCATTAAATAATAACTGACATGACATAGAAATAAAGAGAGATAATAAAAGTTTCGTAAAATTCAATAAGTTTTATGAGAACGAAACTTGTCCACACTGTTTCAATACATAGAAGCCTCATAAATTAGGACATGAGCTCCACTAAGACTGGCCTAAATATCAGAGCATGTGTGCGTCCAACACATTTTGTTGCTAAATAAACCATTTATTATTTTCTCGAAGGACAGCAGAATTAAATGGAATAATTTGCATATTGGAGATTATGCATGTCGCTATATATATTATCGAACAACTTGTCGGACAAGGACGTGTTACTACCAAATGATGCCTGTGCCGGGGTTGACCTCTCTTATGGCTGTGGATGCCTTATCTGCAGGCCCCTCTCTCAGAGCCTCCTGTGCGGGCAGCAAGTGTTGTCCGGCCGGTGTGCCTACTGGCAGTACCGTGCATGTGGGCTTGTGTGTTGCCACACCATGGGTGCACTCCTGTTGGCTAGCTGTTGCCCCAACAAATGACAAAGGCGATCAATGCGTGGCACTGTACGTGGACGAGTGGTTGATGACGAGCTGAGAGCTTAAGCTATACTCCGTACTAGTAAGCTCTCATCAGTGACTGATGTCTGCACAAAACACACGAGTTTAACCTAGGAAGCTGGCCTGGCCACCTTCAAAGAGCGATGGCTTCGGTTGATTGATCGATCCGAAGCTACTAGCAGAGTGGAGGAGGGCTGGAGAGAGACGACATTGGACCGTGTGCGTGCATGTTTGCTCTCGTGCCGACATTGCATTGCTTCTTGAAACGACGTGCCATCCGATTCTATCCGCTGGAAGCAAATACACTACTGTGCATATGCATTGCATGTAATTAGGGATGGAAATAGATGTCTAGAAATCTGAATTCTGCGGAGTCCGTACCGCTAAAACAAGTAATATAGATATCCATATTCGTATCCATTTTTAACGTGGATACTAAATGGTTGTATCAAAATTTGTTTTTCAGTATTTTTCTCTGTCAGATTTCAGATCCGTATTTGACAAAAAATATGGAGTATCCATATTTATCCGTATCCGCGAAGGAAGGTATAATGAATCTACTCAAAAGTTATTATATGTTCATGACTAGTGACTAATTATTTAATTTTAATATTATTAATGACGCATTGTGTCGGGTTTATAACCCCGGGTGTCTCAAGGCACCGATTAGATAGCAGACCACGAGGCTTGCAATGCGCTAGCTGGCGAAGGCGCAAACAACCGAGGCCCAGTCAAGCCGAGCAAGCCAGACCACACACAAGGGCCAGGGTCAGCCACGACCTCTTCCTCTGGCCCTAGCCACGCGGCGTTCACAAAGCACACGACCTCTCCCCATTACAACCATCGGAAGAGATAGGGAGAGGTCTCGTCCAGCCAAGCGCTCCAGCTCTGACAAAAGTGAGCACACCGCACTGACCCCACATGGACCGAGGGGACAACAGTCAGCTCAGCTCGGTCAGACACCAACCATGTGCCACGCCGCACGCACAAAACAACACCGCCTCAAAGCGGTGATAACGAGTACGACGACCACCGACCAGACACGGCCCGGTGATACGGATATATGGTCCCACCCACTATGGGATGGGATCCGCGACGAAGGCCTTGACATCAAAGCCATCCAGACTGGCAGCGAGCCCCGACCTCGACAACTGGGGTCATGGTCCTCAGCTCCTCAAGACAAGACGGTTATTGGTGACCTGGGGCGGCCACCAACTTCCATACCATGCCCCGAGAGAGAAGACAACAATGACGAAAACCACAACGGACACCGCATTGCGCAGGACGGTTGACGAACCACCATCGAGGCCAGCACAGTAGCGCCACGTCACATCCTGCCGCAATGTGGTCAGAAGACCATGACGATAGCCATGACCGAACGTGCAATAGAAGACAACGTAGCTTGCAAGCCAAGTTAGCTAGGTCCTCCCTCAGGCTCTTGACCCTTCGGTTTAGAGAACCTCCTCTTTGTACAAGCCCTGGCCCCGAACTCTATATAAGGGCAGTCAGGGCACCCATCTCGGGCATGACTCACATCCTCTACCATTCCATTC